AGGGTTGCGATCCGTTGCCGGTCACGAAAAAAGACAAAAAGGAAAAAAAAAAAAAGATTCTTAGACATAACCTAAATAAACTAACATACATAGTTTTGTTATAATGAGTTAAATGTAAAGTCAAATGTAAACCATAAAGAATCCAAAGTGAAAAATCAATGCTCCATGTGTTCGAAGTAAGAAATGAAGACACAGTTTTAAATGTCTTTATGTTATTATAAACTATTTTACTTATACTAAACATAGGATATGTTAAACACAAAGAGTTTTAAGAGGAGATTACGTGTGTATGCATGTTGATACTTTTATCACCTTTAGAAGGGAGTATACAACACATGGGCTTAAAGAAGATGGAATACTGTTTTGAGCTCTATCATACGGTTAAGCTTGACACAGATCCTAAGGGGAGGGCAAATGGAGAAAGAGGTCTAGATGAGATTACTGTATTTCCCCTGAACAGACTAGTTCCTATGGTCTCAGAGGAAAGAAGATCTAGAATAAAGTGTTCATATCACTGTGTTCTGTGTTGTGCATTCGAGAAAGTCTATAGAGAACTCTCTGGGAAAGTGAGTCAGAAACCAAAAATCATCTGGGACATTATATCATTTATTTTCAGACGGGAATGGCTTTCAAGTTGTCTACTTTGATTGTTGTTAATGACATGAGTTTCTTCTCCTATGTAACAGTCTCTGAATCAAATTAAGAAAAGACACAAATAGACTAATGAGGTTTATTTAACCCAGGTGTCTAAATAATCAAAATGAATCACTGAGTTTAAAGTATTCCAAAATGCTTGTTAGCTCAACTTGTTCTCTATATCATTCCATATGCTTATTTTCCTGATACTTACTGGGCTCTTTTGTTGCCTTATCCAATCATAATCAGGAAAATTGAGAAGTGACTCAAGTTTATATCAGCAACTCTTGTTCCACTTCGGTGTATCTTTCCCAGTCCCTGTGCCTGTTCCCCTCACCACCTGATACCTAATCCGAGGCCCCATCCTCCTATTCTTCCTCTATCCCTTCCTCATGAAGAAACAATGTTCTCTGATCATTCACAGTAAGTTACAGATGACATAAAAATCACTTCACAGTCTCAAAACAAATCACATTCTGAACAGGTGAAAAATGGTCTAGACTAAAGATACAGAAAGCAAGTCAATTTCTTCTCCAACCATATATGTCTGATACACAAAATTAATTTTATCATATATATATATATATTCTAATATATATATTTTAATCAAACTTCATTATCCAGATCATCACCTACTCAAGATCTGCATGTGTGAGTGTGATGGTCTTATACACAATGTTACTGAACTAGTAGCTTGAAAACTCTTATTTTTTATTTCTTATTTCTTGATCACTTGTAGGAAGTAATAACACATTTTTGTAAGTCAATGGTTATATCCATGGTTCTCAAAACAGGGGCTCCAAAGGATGTTTTACTTTTTTTGAGTGAAAACCAACCGCATTATCTGTCAGACCTAAATACTTATTAAATGGATCTCTCAGGCATTTATTTTGGTGAAGGTATGCAGAAATGACTGAGATATTAGCAGTACTGTAAGTTGAAAAGTTTGGGACTCTCTCACCATAGTATGATTCTAAATCATGTGTAACTATGAAACACCCACTATCGATAATAATATTAACTTACTATTATTATTATTAATATTAATAGTTAATAGACAATCAATCACCAAGTTCTACCAAGTCATCATTGAAAAATTTTGCACATTGATATCACCCTTTCCATTCTAATTTATATAGCTCAAATTCACACAACAGTCTTTCTATTTCCAGGCTTTCTTTCTTCCAATCCATTCTACATATTGCTATTACATAATACCCTGGAGTAAATATTTGGGTTGACTTTGATTTGGCACCAAAAATCCACATTGTATTTCCACTCATCCCAACCCCCAGTACAAAAAAATTTCTTCTGGGAAGTAAACCTTCTTCAATTCTCATCCTATGTAGGTGTAGATGATGATACAGTGATTCTATGCCCATCCAGTCATAATATTGAATTACTAAATTAAAATTAAATTATTTTTATTCACAGGAGGCATGGTTCAGGGATAAGCATGAGATTCACTCCTGGTAAATCTGTATAATTCCATCCTTTTGGCCACAGTGATTGGCTCAGAGATGAGCTCGTGACCCTACAATACATACAGTAACATCATTCCTAAGCAAACAGAAATTTCTCTCTTTTTTTTTTTTTTTAACTGGACTGAGTCCTAGGCGGATGTGACCCTAAAATGGAAGGAAAGTGTCATGGAGCCTGAGGTTTCTCTTCCTTTTTTTTTACTGGACTGAGTCCTAGGCGGATGTGACCCTAAAATGGAAGGAAAGTGTCATGGAGCCTGAGAATGAAAACACAGTCAAGAGAAAGATAAAAACAAATTCCTGATTAAATTATCTCTGCCCCAGGATATTCCCAAAGCCATATTTACTTCTGAATCTTTAGGGATCAGTACCAGTATAAACTCCTTCTTTCTTTGGTCAGCTTTAGTTGGGTTCTCTGACACATTATCGAAGGAGTCCTAAGTGATGCATGATCTTGTGCTATGTTATTTATTTGCTTAAGAGTAATTTTTTTTTCTTTTTGTCCACAGCACCAATTGC